TTTTATTTTGAAAAGTATTATGCAATTTAAAATACTAAATATGATATTAATTGCCCTCTTTATCTAATGATTATTATTTTATTTTTATAGTTTGAAGTAGTTTAAATTCACTTTTTATTTTGCCTTCTTTTCTATTACAATGACTGAACTGCTATGTTTGAAAGTAAAAAATCAAACTTTTTAATCCGTGTTCTTTTATTAAGAGGGATATTAAGATTTAATTGCAATGTTTTCAAAATCAAATCGGAAGTCAAACCGTTTTGATCTTTGGTTCACGGTTTGATGGTTCAATCAATTTAATCGGTTAAAAAATTGAGTTGATTAAATTTTGAAAATATATATTAAATTAAATATAATGCAACTCATCTCAAAGAATTACTTGTGGTGCTGATGGTCAGAACTTTTAATTTCATCGAGGAGAATTACAATTCAAATTTCACGAGTGGTAAAGTTGTTCAATTTATGATATTCTACCATAAATATATCTTAACACATACTTTGACAACAAACTCGAATCAGATCAAGTGGCACGAATCTGATTGAGCATCTAAAAGAGTTAGTGTTCAAACCTCATTGAACTCATTTTCTCTTTAAAATCTTTGTAATATTCTTTGCAACTCACCTCACAAGAGGCAGGGTGGCCAAGTGGCAAATGGCTTGCTAGCCCTTCATATACAAATGCATGAGAATTTTGTCCCAAGAGTTGACCCAGCCGATTTGATGGGTTATTGGTTCTCATCGGTTTGGACGGTTTGAGTGGTTTTAAGTAGTTCAATAGCTTAAATGGTTTGAAATATTCACCCGACCCGTTTCTTCTTCTGAGTGTCGATTCAACCGATCGATCTGATTCGATTTTCAAAACCTTGCTTAATTGTAACAATAAATATAAAAAAATACTTTTAAACTTAATATATCAAAAATTATTTATTATCCTTTCCTTTATTATCCTTTAAGAGTTATTAACAGATTGATCCAACAGTCGTTCATCCATCCATTGCTCTTCTGCAAGAAAGGTTCAGATAGTTGGAGAGAGCCAAGGAGATAAGGCAGGAGAAAGAGCTCTTACGGATGTTCCCTGAATCAAGGCAGATCAATGCAGCCATGCCTTATGTGCCATACAGATCGCTTTTACACCTTGTACTCATGCTTCAGTCAGAGCTGCCTCTTCAATGTACACTCAAAAGAGAAGCTAGTCTGTAGAGCAGGAATACCCAGGTTCAGGTCATTCAAACTCCAATGTTGGAGAGTTTATGGTCCAGAGACACTGTCATATGCACAACTGACAATGATGATATTTCAGATGTTGATACTTCACTTCATCTGTGAAAAAGTATTACAATGTTAGTCTACCTAGTAATCCTGTGGTTTCCTTCCGTTTGTTCTTCATGGGGCAATAAGAATATGGGAACGAAAAGGAGCTAAAGAAAAGAAAAGAGAATATGTAATGTAGCTAATGGCCATTATCTTATGTATCTTCAGAACTACAGAGCAATCAGAAAGGCAATTCTCTTATCTCTTCTGAAATGCATTCTCATCATAGGTAATGTTATCCAATTTGTCACTGTTCCCTCTCCTCTTCATGAATTTGGGAATCAATCGAGTTCCATCTTTGGCCTCTGACATTGCTTTCCCATTGTTTATCTGCTCAAAACGAACAGCACTAACCTTTCGGGTATTTGTAGCTAATATCTGCACCAGGGACAACATTTCACTCACATTAATCAGTAATTCAATTGTGTGCTCAAGATTTAGTATTATTAGCCTATACGGTTATCACCTGGATAATTTATTTTCCAGAAAAAAATGTTTAAACTTGAGTGTTACACAAGAACAGAGCATATAAATTATTATTATCAGTTGCTAAGTTTCTTTTAGCAAACTGAGCCACCAAATGAAGCATCTCATAGGATGAACCACATAAAAGCAGATTCCTATACGAACAAATTCATGCCTCCATAATAGCATTTGAGTTTAGAAAGTTAAATGTGGAAGACAGTCAAGAGACTGCATGATTGCTAGCTACATTCATTTTCTTAGTTTTTTGTATTGAAATCCATTCGGTTCTTTTACCCTACCTCAAGTCTATATATTTGATGCCTTTCCTTCAAATCTTGATGACCAGATCCATCTTATCATCATCATCTTGATTATCCCTTTTAGGACAACTTTGATGCTCTCATCAGCCCTAGGGATGTATCCAAATACTTCACATACAAAACCAGATACTGTCTCATACTGATGTTCCTATAGAATAGCGTGGTGAACAAAGAACAATGAAGTAGAAATATGAAATTTAAAAGTTAAAGGAACATTTTGATAGTCATTTACAGTGTGAGATTAACTGTGCCTTTACTTCAAAATGAATTGAAAACTACATTGCAATTTTAACTATTTACTTTGTCCTCTCCCCTTTTTCTTTTTCATTTCTTTTTTTATCTTTTAAGCAGTGGTCACTTAATCATGAAGCATAATAATCCCACAACAGTCACAATAAACAGAATTTCACTTGCAACTGGGATCAGAAATATCAAGTATATAAGTCTGGCTATTTTTAAGATTCCTACGATCAACTACTATGTGGCAGAGAATGAAATTTTAATGAGCCTGTGGAAATGGCAGGAGAAGTGTACAATACTAGAAATAATCAAAGGTAGAAATGATCCTAATAACTGGGTTTTAGCTTTAATGTTTAAATTCTCCATTCAGTGCTCTATACACCATAACAACAAAAATCAGCAATGGTATAGAATAACATACCTCTGGCATTTTGATATTCAAGTCCTCAGATGGCAAATAAATAGATGCATGGGCATGGACATCATATACTCCCTCTGCTCTCATTACAATATAGCCAGTTTTCTTCTGGATCACCTCCTGTTAATACAATTAGCAGCAAATGCATAAAATAAGAATCACTTGAGAATCATTATACATATGTATAAATGAATCACCTAAGAATCAAGTAGAGCTGAACCTTGTAACACTAATTGATATGAGACCTATAGAGTAAAGAAATATCTACATGACGTGAGAAGTGACATGAAATTCCTTGGTCACGTGGAAAATACAGAAATAGTACATGCCAAACTAAATGAGACCAGAAACTGGCAACATAAAGCAGCATCTAGATCAATTGGTCTGTAGAAAATTAGCAGGACATGTATAACACCAATTTGTTTTGGACTCCATCAACAAGTTTTCTTAGCATCCCCTTGCTAAGGAATAATAGAATCCAATATCTAAAGTTATCTATATAGTTAAAAGACTTGCCCCCAATAACAGATTCAGTAACAGAATATTAAGGTCATTAATGAGGTAATTAGGCTTACCTTTGAATCATTTTCATCCAAGATTTCTCCAACAATCTCCTCAACCACATCTTCTAAGGTTACTATCTGCTCCATCAAAAAATCAGTACATAAATATATAAAATCAATCAGTCAATAAAATGAGCACAAATACTGTTAAATAAGCAATCCAGAAGAGAAAAAAAACCCATGAATAATTTCTATATTCAAAAAGGATAAGTTCTCATAAAATATCTAGAGAACATTTCAGATTCTTCATTTCTTTGACCTCCCTTTTTTCACAGCATTCCTTTGGCAGAGTTGTTTTGGGTTTTTTATTAGCACCTCACTTACTTTCTTCAATACTTTCTTATAAGCATTTCAAATGCTAAAAAGTAGAGGATCCCTCCCATACTTCTTTAGACTTGTGAGAGAAAAAAGTGCTTATAAACAAGTTGAAGAATAAACTCTGCCAAACAAACAGTCATTGAGGGTCATTAGCTCCCCTGCACTTATCAGTCAAATGCATGCAC